ATATATATATATATTTAAATTGCATTATGTTCCTAATGCCGGAAAACAATCCTCTGACACTATATGGATAGTGACCTCACAGGCAACATAAAGTAAATGGTCAGTACAAGCTGAGGTGTGCAGTATAACATTTATATAAAAAAAATGAACTTCAAATTGCTAAATCAAATACCCACATTGTTCTTAGTAACATCTGACAACCAACACAGGCATGGACTGGGAATAAAGAGGGAAAAAGGGAGGGAATAAACACAAGTGTGTAGGAGGAAGCTAACCAGCAGCCTTATGTGATGTCACTAGACTTATGATTGCTTTTGGGAGTGTAGAATTTACAACATTCACAAAATAGTAAAACAAATAGAAAACCTGCCGTTTATAACTTTTTTTTTTTTTTTTAGATGATTATATCAAGAAAATGACTGATTTCAGAAAAAACAGTGGTGAGTAGCTTTAAACAATATTTTCCACGCACAAACCTAGCTAAAATTGTATTACAACTTGTATTTATTTGGGATCAGGAAAGTGTAGAACAGTTTAATGGTTTTTTTTTTTGATGGAATCTCGTGTGGGCTATATACTACATTTCTGTCCCTGTAACCCTGCGGCTTCTATCTCCTGCTTCCTTTCATGTCCACGATGCTTTTCCAGTGGGAGGAGGGAGGACGCGGACTTTGTTCCCCGAGCTCTGCCTCCAGATGACCTCATGCCGGGGAAAAGAGGAGGAGAAGAAGTAGGAAAAGGAGGAGTCCGCGGCGTGCTCGTAGTCTACCTTGCTGAATCAAGCTGGGTCTGGGACTGAGTTCGTGTGGAAGTACGCTGTAAGAACCGGGAGAACTTTTCCCCCCCCTTTTGCCGGCACTGTGATCTCCATGACATTTACCAGGTAAGACTTTAGAAGTGCTATTGTGGAGACTGTTGATTGGAGGGTGTGTGAGGAGTTCAGGGGAGATGTGTCACGTTTTAGCTGGAAGTTTGTGAGGAGGAGAAATGCCGAGACATGCCCATTGAGTAGCCATGGGAAGCAGCGGGGCAGACAGCTGACTCACTGTAGCTCCAATTTAATATTTCTGTCTCGTTTTTATAGACTCTCGTTTTTGTTTGTTTGTTGGTTTGTTTCAGTTATAAAACTCTTCGAACTTTTGAGGCTGAGTTTGCTCTGAACATCAGCGAGCACACACCATTCAAACTCCAAAACTGGCGCTAAATGAAAGCGTTTCACCGCTGTTTCATCACTCAGGACGCTAACGTGAAGAAATGCGTTGCGCATATAAATAAGTCTTTAAAGTAGCAGTGCTTTAATTGGGTTATTTATTTACTAACGCAGTTTAAATTGGGTCATTCCTCTGGATAGGTTTGAGTGTGATTTATACAGCAGTGTGAAAAATGTGAGGACACCCCTCTAAATATTTAGTTTTCTATTTAAAAAAATATTTCCAAATTCAGGCTTAATTATCTTTTTGTTTATATGTAGGAAGTGGTTTAGTTGAACTTAAGCAACTAAAGTAAATCTCATCTTTCAAAAGAGCTTGTCAAGTCAGAGTGAGGACACCATACCCTCCTAATTATTTCAACTTCAAGATGTTTTTTAGTCGTTTTCAAGTCATGGCAGCAACACCTTAAGGAGACCAAGATCTGGGCTTTGACTTGAATCATCGCATTTCTTAAATCTCACTTAGTCATCTATTGGACTAACTTGTGAGTAATTTCTATTGCACAGTTTCCATTCTGCTTTAGCTTAATTTTAATGTTTTATTTACTTGTTTATTTATTTTTTCCTCATGCCCCCTCTGATACTTTACAGTTTACGATGAACATTTAATGGTGACCTGGATAGATTTTGCTACAGCAAAGCATCTACAAACCATGACACTTTCACCTATTAATGTTTGTCATTTGGTTGTAAAAGCTGGCACTGGTTGATCTTATGCATTTTCTGTGTCACTTTTGTGTTTATATTGCTGTTGCTCTGTAAATGAATTTTTAGCCATCACATATTTAGTGGAACTGCAACTGAAGTGCCCTCCAAGCAGCACCCTGTTTATGACTGAATACTATTTTGAAATTCAGAAATTCCTTAAACTGCGACCTTCAATGGCAAATACAAGGCCGACAGCACAACCAGTTGCAAGATCACAAATCCAACAGTTGGAGCAAAAACTGCAAATGTACTGATGGTAAGGTACTATGAAACAAAACTATATGTTTCATGCATTGTTTATTGAATATTCTTCTGAAAGAAATCCAAAATCCAGACAGCAGAAAATCTACAAAGACTTCAGCCTCCTAAATGTTATGGCTCATGAATGCATCATAGGCTCTGCTTGTTTTGACTGAAGGTTAGTCATAACAGGAAACACTATGCTTGGGTTCATACAAGGGAAAATCTATTAGATGTACCAAAGGATAAGAACAAGTTTTAAAAGAAACCACAGATCCACTAATCAATTGGACAGTGATTGACGTCGCCATTTTTCCCTTTGCCTTTATGTGTTTGGGAAAAATACCAAAATAAAAAAAAATGCTACTTTTTCTATTATGTCCTACTTTTAAATTCTATAAAAACATCAACCAATAATGTGTTATTTAAAAGGGATCATAGAGATTATATTGTGATTGCTTCATTGAAATAAAAACTAGAGCTGCAATAACAATATTAGTGCTGCAATTAACAGTTATTTTATTTGGTGGAAAAGCTATCCATTATTAGATCTGCCATTTTAGAGTTTGTATTTCCCAAAAAGCTCAACAGAACTAATCTGATTCTGGCATCTATTACTGGGCAAGATTCAGCAAATCAAAGTTTGCTTCTGACTGCTCTCAAACATTAACTTGGTGTCAGTTTAAAGGAGCTATTGATTATATAAGTACATTATGTTGATACATTTTAGTTAGATTCACATTATTATAAAGAGATTCATTTTAATGCCTCACTGATGAGATATTTGAAGACACTGGTTGCACTTCCTCCAACTGTGCCGACCTGTTTGATGCTCATCCCCGGTCTGCATTTTGAGATTGGATGGGGCATTTTATAAAAGCAGAAGCCAGCCCAGATTTATATGAGGGGTAAAGTACAGTAATTTTGTCCACCCACTTAAACTGAGTCATTGAAGTTTGACGACAGACGGGCAGGCTGGCTGTATATAACCTGAGCAGTTTTCTGGTTGTCGTCAGATAAGGAGTGGTACTTCTGTCCGGTGCTTTGAAAATCAAAGTTGTGTTTCAACGTCTTTAAAGGACGTATCAGAAGGGAGCTGACTTTGATTTCGAGCTCATAAATTTATTGATTCAAGGTCCTCTCTGGATCGGATTTATGAGAGTTTTTGTCTGTACAGCCTCCTGGCTTTCTACCTTGACAGGGCTTGTTTTGCATTAGAAACCCCAACAGGTGGGAAAGACGTTACGGAAAACCGTTGCGGTCAGATCATGTGACTGTGCTGTGTTAACTTTCCAGTGTAATTTCATCTAATTTTACACAGATGATGAAACCATCAGAATGGATTTGCGTGCCTTTGTGCCAAAGCTTGATTCGTCCCAGTTGTCTGTCGGAAGATGCCTGCTTTACAGAGCAGTCATCTTGTTAAGAGTGGGGGAAGACAAGGGGGGCGTCTTTCCCCTCTCAGTCTATGCAGAGCCTGGTTCCCATGGTCCAATGCCAACTGGCCAATAAAAGATGCTGGCATCAGAGTTGCATTGTGATGGCCGAGGAGGGAAACTTACGGGAACCACTGACCCGACAGAAAGTACATACTGAGTCGTTGCTGTTATTTTGCTGAATGAATTTTGTCCTTCAAAGGCGGCTTCACAGCTTCTCCCAAGCAGAAAGTCCAGATTTAAAAAGTTTGTCCGCTGAAATGCAGTGATGCGGATTTCTGCTGTAGATGAGGCAAACGTCTTTGCTCCTGCCTAGCCATGTGACTGCATGGTATTTTACGGAGCAAAGAGTGTTACTCCGGAACGCATTATGTTGCATCACCTCTAATCTGCTTTAAACGAATTATGTTACTTTTATCTCAGTTTGCTTTGGCAAGCTACGGTCTGAGGAAAACTCTTTGAAACTCTTTACAAGTCAGTGTTTCGGTGAGCACAATGGCCTTCAACTTAAACGGGAAAAATAACTTGTGTGATCACATTGTTATTCATCGTACCTTTTAACATATTATCTGTCAGTTTGCCTCAAAGCCAAACTCAGAAATCATTTCTTGATTTTTATCTGGAAAGCTTCAGCCACAATTGACGATTCCCTACTGGTTGTTTTTGTTCTCTCGTCTGCTGTGCTGGATTTTCTGTTTACAAAATAAGTTGATCCTCAGGAAAGTATTCATGTGTTCACAGCTTTGGAATGGAGGATCATAAACAAGCCCCTTTTGAAAAAATTGTGTTGCGTAATAATATTAATGTCTTACAGAAGCCTTTGTTGTGCTTTTTGAAATGAACTGGTTGTCCCCATTTTATGGTATGATGACTAAAACATATGGTATCGCGTCTAATGTGGAAATTTCAAATCCTGAATGTGTAAAGTTCTGCTATTGTTTCAGAAAACTGTAAAGATTGTTCCTCAAACTTACTTAAAAGTTCAATTAACATTTATTTTACTTCAGCTTTTCCTTCAGACATAAGCAACGCTATTTTGTGAACACCAGCTAAATGAAATATTTTCAAAGTGTTTATTGTGCAAAACCTTTTGCAGTTTTGTTTTTCATGGAGTCGCACATAAACGAGAAGTCGGATGCTTAATGGACAGCCTGCTCAAAAGCTTCAAAACAGAGCTACAGCTGGTGCTCCTTTACTGTCTACAAGTAGATAAGTGTAAATTAGGATATGATTTGGAGTCCTTCTTTTTAACCAGCTGTCTGGCAGTGCACAGCAGCAGGTGGAGGAACAGCGTCTCTACATCACCACATGTATGTACGAGCAGAGAAAACTCTCTGCGACTTATTAAAAAGTTAAAGACAAGAATGGTAGAAAAATGTTTGCCGTTATAAAAGTGCCTGCTTGTCCCACATTGGCGTATTTCATAAAGATGGAACCATCTTCTTCTATGGGATTAAATGTCCAGATGACCATAAAGAAGGTTCAACATGGACACTTGATGTTTACCCTCTGACTTGTGTTTGGAAGGACCTCTCATCTGCAGCTGTTACTGATTCACACTTCAGTTCAGACTTTCTAAAACGCCCAGAAATGGACAAGGGGAGCTTAGGAGATTAGTGATATTAACTTAACAACTTGTGTTGCAGTCATTTGTTCAGTGAAAACATATTTTGGAGGCAGATGCACATTAGGGTCCGTAATCAGCAGAGTTTAAGGGGAAAATGGGGAGCTTCCTTTGCTGGCGTGCAACACACAAACTGCAGCACATATGTGTGATCTCTTAGGAAGGCTGTTGCAGATAAAGCTCTTAAAAACTGAACATGTCCTTCTTTTGTTCACAATTTTACCATCTCCACATGTCACTGTTGTGCAGAACATGTGTTCTCTGGTTCCTTTAATGCTCCTCCGGTCTTAATCTCTGCATGTGGGGAGGAGGCAATTAAGATGAGTGACTGAGCTACTAATAAATCAGTCATCAACAAAGAAAGCATGCAAACAAGATGGTTGTCCTCAGCTGGATGTGCTCTTGATGTAACAATGAATCAATGAAAAATATCTCATTTGGCTTTATTAGATTGTCCCATCAGTTAACTAGGTTTCTGCAATAATGTTGCTATAAAACCATTGTGTTTTTTTTTTTTTTTTTTTTTTTGTGTGTTTGTTCAGTGCTAGCTTTGCCTAATTTATGATATTTAAACAGAATCTTTTGGTAGTTTTTCATTGTATTGTAAATGATAAAGGAAGAATTGATTAGTGATGGAAAAGTTCTTCTTAATATGAATGATAAAG